TGGATTGGGATCTTTATTCCAAAGATTTCAAGAAGAAAAGATCACACCTGATCTTGTATCAAAACTTTCAAAAGCTGACATGCAGTATTTAGGAGTTGTTGAGAGATCAGACATGATGAAATTACGAATAGAATGTATTCACTTTGGAAGCAATAGACCGGTTGAAACTGAAAGAAATTCAGATTTCGTAATACCAGAGGATGTGCTGGACTTTCTGTTTGAGTCCAAGTTCAAAATTAAGGAAATTTCCCGAATTTTAAACGTGTCTGAAAGTACAATTTATAGAAGGATGAGGCAATGTAATCTTTCTGTAAGAAAATATGATGGTATAGTAGATAATGAGTTGGACCAGAAAGTTTCTGATATTGTGAGGGAGTTCCCCAAATGTGGAGAAACAATGGTCAGAGAAATTCTCCGACATAGAGATGTTCAGGTGAGAGAATATCCCCTTCCTTAAATAACAAATTAATTTATTTTTATTCAAATGTAAAATAATAATAATAATAAAATTAAATTTCATGTTTGTTTGATCTGGACTAAAAATTGATTCATACTATATTCAATCATGCATATTAGAGTAAAATTTCTGTCTTGTTTGGATGTAAGTATGCAAATTGATGTTGCATCTGCTGCAGAAAAAAGATAACCCTCTTTAAACGGGTTATAATTTTTTGAAATTAAGCTGCATACAACATTAATGCCCATACTACTAAACAAAAATTGTTTGAATTTAAATATTTACAAACAATTTAATTTCACATGAAACACGTCATTTGATCGGATAAAAGATTTTATCCATTTTGTATAACATAACTTGCCTACATCACAGTTAACGTCAAAAAACGTATTACTCATATACTTATATTTCATATTAACTTTATTATACCCCCCGCTTGAAAAGCGGGAGGGTATATAGTAATCGTTAATTCCGTCCGTCCGTCCGTCCGTCCGTCTGTCTGTCTGTCCGTCCGTCTGTTACGCTTTGGGGTACCCATCTCTTATCCGCAACTCCTCTCATACCACTGAATGAAATTTGATGAAACTTTCACAGAATCTTTATTACATATTGCCATTGTGCACCTCCTATTTTACTTTTTGATCTGACACATATTTTGGGTTTCCCGGCCACAGGAAAACTTGGACTTTTTCACCAGTTATAACCATATGGGAGGCGGGGGGTATCATTTAGTGAGCTCATCGCTCACAGTACCTCTAGTATTGTCTTTGAAACAGGTAACGAGAGCAAGACTGCGCGAGAGTTTACATAGAACAAATGGATATAATATAACAGAAAGGCTAAAAAGAAGATTACAGAGAAGAGTTTACAATGTTGAAGGTGTCAATCACTTATGGCATATAGATACCAACCACAAACTGATCAGATGGAATTTTATAATCGTTGGTGGTATCGATGGCTTCAGTAGATTTGTAACATTTCTTAATTGTAGGGACAACAATAAGTCTGAAACAATTTTCAGTTGCTTTCAATATGCTATTCAAAGATATGGTTTGCCTCTAAGAGTTCGCTCTGATAAAGGACTTGAGAACAAATCTGTTGCTGAATATATGGTCAGAACTCGAGGACCAAATAGAGGGAGCATGATCACCGGAAAAAGTGTCCACAACCAGCGAATAGAGAGGCTGTGGAGGGATGTATATGAAGGAGTCCTATGCTATCATTATGAACTTTTTTATCATATGGAAGACATACAAGTGCTGGATATTTTAAATGAAAAACATATGTTTTGTTTACACTATGTGTACCTGAAAAAGATAGAGGAAAAGCTTCAAATATGGAAAGAAGCATGGTCTAACCATAGACTGAGGACAGTGAAGACCTCGCCATTACAGTTGTTTGCAGCCGGAATTATCAATAATCCAATTGACATATCAAATTCAGATTGGGAACAGTATGGCATTGATAATACCGATTTCCTAGATCTTAACAATGTAAATCCGAGACCCATGTTTGATCCACCTGCATATGAAGTAGCAAATGGCACTCTGCAAGAATTGCAACAACATTGTCCATATGACTGGCATTCTGCTAACTATGGAATTGATATTTTCCAACAGGCAGTGGAAATTGTAGAAAGAAACAACAGATTTGCCGTGTGATATAAATAACTTGCAATTTGTACTAATTCACTTCAATACAAACATTCCTTTTATTTCTAATCTATTTAGACCATCCACTAGAAATGAAAGGTCATAAAGCAAAGCAAACTGAGTCTACTGCACTTTTCATGGTGGTATACTGCACTAGGACACACTCTGAGGACTAAGATTCATATTCCAAAAAGTTAATGATGCTACCAGTACTTGCTATCAGTATGTATGGCACGCCAAATTCACAAAAATGGGCTAATCATAGTTTCACAGTCGATAAACTAGGTTTATCGGTTGTAAACTATAGTTTACGGACTGTAAACTATAGTTAACAACGTTAATCTATATTTTACATCCGTTAACCATAGTTAACACGATAATCTATGTTTCACAACCGTAAACTATACTTAACACTGAAAACAATCATTTGCGATTGCAAAACATAGATTATCTGATAAATACAGTTTCACGATTTGTAAACGATAGTTTACAAACCGTTAACTATAGTTAACAATCTGATAAATATAGTTTCACGATTTGTGAAACTATGATTAACAACTCTTAACTATAGCTTACGATTGTAAACTATAGTTTACAAATGTGAATCTATGTTTATCAACAAAATCTATTGTTAACGCTTATTACAGGCAGACAAACTTAGATTATCATTCGTAAACTATGGTTAACAACGTTAAATATAGTTTTACAGATGAAAACTATACTTAACGAATCGTTAACAATAGTTTACGGTTTGTAAACTATAGTTTACAGTTGATAAACCTAGTTTATCAAATGTGAAATTAGGTTTATCTCATTTTTGTGAATTTGGCGTGCCATAAGTATGTGCAAAAAATTAAAATATTTTTAAAATATTGCTTTTTATATTCCTTTATCCACCCTCCACAAATACAATGCAACCTTTCATTGAACTTGGCCGAGTGTTCATAAGTGCTTGAACTGGTTCCTTGATCAACTATGATGATTTCGAAGAGACAACAACAACAGCAAAAAAGAAATACTGTTTATTAAAAAGTGACATACAAAATCACAAAGTAATGGTTCATATAAAAAGTTTTCATTGAAAACAAGAAGTCCAAGGGCCATATTACCTATTAAAGCAAGAATATTTTTCTTGAAAGAGTCATGATAACCTTTTTTATCCTTCTTAATACTTGTTTGTTTCAACATATATTTTATTTCATAACATGCCTCTCATTTTACAGGAAAATATCTATATATTTCAACTTAACTAATGGCTTCTCTCTGGCTCCTATAGAAAATATACAATTTTTCTGTAAATTCTAAGGTTGATTTCCTTTTACTGGATTTAAACAATTAAATTATCTCACAAACTATTGCATCTTATTCAGTTTTTTCTCATTTCTATCAACACAAAAATGACTCCTCTAGCTGTCAGCAGGGACTAGGGTTCCCATGGGATTTTGAAAGAATTACCTGGATATAAGTAATCGACTATGGTCCCACTATTGGTTAGGGGTCACGATTGGAGCAATTTATCAAATAATGTAAATTAAGCTTTATTATAACTATTGGCATTTCTGGTGAAAAATGGATTTTATGAAGATTTTACAAGGCATCCTATTTACAGTTTTTTGGTTATCTTCTTTTTGAAAATGGTGTGTCCCTTTATTAAGTTTATATGAATTTATGTCACCCATCAGCTTTTTAGAAAAGTTCAGTCTGAAATTACTTCAAAACAATTTATTACAATTGAATTTTTCCTACACTTTTAAAATACACAATGTAAATCGTTTGTAAATGTAAATGTCAATTGAAAAAATGCTCCAAGATTTATAAGGAACCAAGATTTATAAGGGGTTATTTCTTGTGGTGGAAAGAAATTTAGAAAATTCTGCAAATCTACACATTTATTAAATTCAATAATCTTTTATTAGAATATTTTCTGCTATGAAATGCTAGGATTAATAAGTATATGTCTCAATTTTTAATTTTAGAACAACCTTTTACACCTTTGCAAAAAAATAAAGATATATTATATTAATGAAATCAAGATAAAGTTAACAGATTATTGCCTAAAAACCCCATATTTTGACCAATACTTCAAAATTTTCATTAATGACCCCAACTTTCTCTTTCATTATTTAAACTATTTGACCAATCAGCACTTTCACATAAGTTTCAGCTTTTCTGGCCCATTGGTTATTTAGAAGACTTTTTAATGACCCCACCCTATTTTTGTCTTTTCTTAATTATCTCCCCCTGTGAGTGGACTTGGCTCTTCATTTTAACAATTGTAACTTCCCTTCACCCAAGGATGCTTTGTAATAAGTTTGGTTAAAATTGGCCAAGTGGTTCTTGAGAAGAAATTAAAAATGTGAAAAGTTTACAGACGGACAGACAGCTAGACAGACGGATGGACAAAATGTGATCAGAAAAGCTCACTTGAGGGCTAAAGTGAGCTAAAAATTTATGGATAGACAGTCAAACTGACAAAATCAAGACATTAAGGTCAGGATTTAGTAAATAACTTGACAAATTTTTTGTTCTAGATCCATTGTGACATCATAATCAATTTCAACTTTTTCCCCATACTTTACGGCTTTAGCAGAATTCAATTATGTAGAAAATAAGGTATTTTCATGGCATTATTACTTCGAAATCGTATGAAAGGTAATCCCGATACCTATATAAAATTTGACATATCTCCCATATTCATGACCGTTTTTCTTAATTTTTCATTGAAAATGACTGTTTAAAATATGGTATTTCTTATTGTTTACCTACAAATAATAACCCAAAACACCTTTTTTATCCAGGCTAAAGTTATAAGGTATCATTATAAATGGATTTTTTTCTCAAATATTAAAAATCTGAGGGCATCTTTCATTTACTAGACAGTGATCTGAAGGTAGATTTGCAAAGCTTTTTTAATCATTGTAAACCAAAGTATGTATTGCAAAACGCAAAGTCAAAAAAGTGGAACATTGCTTCATCTGTTGGCATATCATGAATTGGAATTGTTAACTGCATTTTGTTAATGCAAGTATTTCCTGTTGGCAGGAATGATTCTCTTTCAATGAATTCAATTGTTGGTTGCATTGTGTAACCTAGAGGTGGTTCCTCTTCACATCCCGTGCAAAATTGAAGAATTCTTGCAAGGGTTACCTCACCACGTCTACCACCTGAAATGCAAAAAAAAAATCTTGATTGAATTATAGTTTTAAATTATGTACTTAATTTCAATTCCTAGTAGAAATCTATGAATATTCTGAAAAGGACTGCACAAGACAATGAGTTTAAGAAACACTACCATACAACAATGATGACTATAGACATGTGCATGAAAAGCTTACTTGAGTCTACAGCTCAGCTATCTTAAAAAGGTTAAAATTGTGAAAATTACTTTCAGAACAAGAGATGTTTGTAAAACACTTATGCCCCCCTCCCCCCACAAACTGGAATTTTTCAAAGTCCAAAAGAGCATAACTCTATCAAAAATGGTGTGATCATACCCAAAACAGAACTTGACCTAGATATTCATCTGACTAATCTGTATACTAAATTCCATTTCAATATGTGCAACCTCTCCAAAGAAAATGAACGGAAACTGCAAATAATTTGAATATTTCTAAGTCCAAGGGGCATAACTCTGTCAATTATGGTGCGATCGTACCCAAAACATAACTTGACCTAGATATTCATCTGACTAATCTGTATACTAAATTCCATTTCAATATGTGCAACCTCTCCAAAGAAAATGAACGGAAACTGCAAATAATTGGAATTTTTCTAAGTCCAAGGGGCATAACTTTGTCAATTACGGTGCAATCGTACCCAAAACAGAACTTGACCTAGATATTTATCTGATATACCTGTATAGCAAATTTCATTTCAGTATGTGCAACGGTTATGAAGAAAATGAACGGAAACTAAATGGACCGAAAGACTGACAGACAGCAGCAAAGCAATATGCCCTCCCTTCCATGAAGGGGGGGCATAATTAATTAATTTAACTTATTATTTAAAAAGTGCATTAACTCCTAAGAGTAAATTCTGTAATTTGATTAATGATTACACAGAGCATGTCACACTTATCATTCACTACTGTAGATCACTAAATTTTTGTGACACCTTATGTTTGTGAGATAATCATTGATTCTTGAGTTGCAAAACAAAATTTTCACAAATTGGGGTTTTTGTTCTATATAATCCTAAGGAATACTATTAGATGCGAGAATTAAAATTTCTTGAGAACACTGTCTTGCGTAATAAAGATAAAAAAGAAGCCCATGGGCGCATACATCTGTAATGAATAGTTGCTAAGAAAACTGCGACGAAAAATTTGTAATGTATGAAATAGACAAATGCCCACTGCCCAGATAAACAGGAAGTTGACATCAGATTTGAACAAAATGAATCCCACCATATTATGGCATGCCTCAAAGAAGATTGTGTTAAAATTTCAAGCATCTGTGATGAGTAGTTGACAGACACACAACGATAAAACAGTATACCCCCTCTCCTGTGGAGCAGGGGTAAAATTAAGGGCAAAGAAATCCCTGTTCATACATCTTATTACCTGTAGATTTAACAACTTGTATTTTGCACTTACTTGCAGCCTCTCTCAGATATTTCACAAACTTCGCATAAATTTTTCCTTCTTTTTGTCTGCGATTACTTCCCTCTGGAGAAAACTGTGGCTTGAGGGTGTTTGTAAGCATCTTCAATGTAATTTTCAGTCCATCACGAGGTGTGAAAAGATGAATGAGTGTTGGAAGATGACAAGCCAGCTGTACAAAATAAGTGACAGTGTAATGACAACCTGACAAAGGATTCAAAATGTACATGCAAATACTTCTATTTATTACACACTTAGTAATACTGTAAATCACTTTTTATTCGCAGGAACTTTATTTTCGCGGTGGGCATTTTCTTAGAAGTATAATATTCACCTCGCCCTTCAGGCTCGGTGAATATTGTACTCCTCAGATGGCTAAATCATTGTATTGACCTCAAAAACAACAATACAAGTACACTGATATTACCTCGTATAAACCTAATGCATTCAGTCCTTTTCGTAAATCCTGCACAAAAGATCTTGGTGAAGAATTGTTAAACACCTCCTCGACTAAACTGGCTGATAGGATTCTTGGCAAAGGTCCATTTTGGAGTATACTTAAAGCTACAACATGCATCCATATACACCTGTTAATTTTTCCAATCTACTATCAAGCTGAATATAATGTCAGAAGCATTTATAATTTTAAACAATTAATGATCACAAAAAATTAAATTAAGATATGTGTTCTCTTACCAAATATCTTTCCAATTATTTCATAATTGTTGGAATACTCCCGAACAGGATCAAAGTATTTCTCTTGTATCTGCCTCAATACCAATGAAAAAAATTCTCTACGTGGTCCACCAAGGTCAACCGCATTCTGTAAACAATTAAGATCATTAACATGTGGAGTTTCTTGTTATTATTTTTTACTTCTTTGTTTGAATACATTACACAGGTCCTGTTACACACAAGTGTTAAATGTATAAAATGTAGTCTGTACATGTTAAATCTAGAATAAAATTTGCTAGTTTTTTTTTTGTTGTAAAAATCGATCAGATGCCAATCAAGCTAGTCAAATGCTAAGTGGAATACCGATCCTGATCAGAATAAAAATTAAAACAATTTTTTTTTAATTCAAAGAGGGGAAAACAATTTTGGGGAGGAGGGATTTGAGAAATTAATTTTTATTATGGTCTGAATTTTTAATAAATAATGGGCATTCTGAGAAGTTCATACAAGAACAGCCAATTGAGATTTCATATTAAAATAGTTATCCATTAATAAGAATAACAATATTATCTTACTTCTTCATAAAATTGGACTTCCAAAGTGTTCTAAGATCCTCTATTTCTTTAATCTCATTAAATGCTGTGTCCAATATGTTCTCTCTATCAACTAATATAAAATTGGTGTCTCCCTCTATAGTATTACTTTCCGTCTCTAATTCCAGTTTTCTTCCCTTGACAATTTGACCCTGTGTAATCTTTAGAATTTCTACTGGATCACTAATATTCTTTTCTGAGCAAAGTTTGATGATATTGGGAATGATTTCTCTTTTCCATGAATCTGGTGATTGTGACGAAGATTCTGTCCTGGCCTCTGACAAAAGGGGTGCCCCATTCTCTGATGTTCTTGAAGTTCCCTCAAAGTTTGAATCAGCTGATTGTGACAAAGATTCTAGATCTGCTCTGGCCTCTGACAAAAGGAGTATGCTATCCTGGGAGGTTCCTGAAGTTCCTGTGATATTTTCTGCTGTTGGTGCAAATAAACGGACTGGGGGGACTGTCTCAGCAAACGATACAGAATTAGGTTCTTGGGTAGTATTACCTGAAGCAGTATATGTAGGTATTTCATTGTAAATGACAATTTCAGGGTCAGGAAGATCATCTGAAAATTGATTATCATTGGGAGAGGAGCTGTCTACCACAATATTAAAAATCTGACCTGAACTTAGTTCCTTCTCACAGACACAATCCTCAATATGACTTCTGAGTTTATCGATTGGTATTACTTTTTCACAGTGACAACATTTTTCTGTTAAGGTAGCATCTTCATTTAATGTAGAGTTTTCCACTTCAAGAGACAATGACCTTTGAATCGGTCGGATGTAAATTTTACTTTGAACTCCCACAAAGGACTTCAGAACTTCTGGGGTTCTTCTGGAAGAAATTACTTCTAGGTTTCTACAATTGCTTATACATCTCATAAGTTCAAACCCGCCGCAATCATTCAACTTATTGAAGCCATCTTGAATTAGTTTGTGTTGAAAAAGTTCTTCTGTGTCATCCGTGTAGAACTGGATCTTTTTGGGTCCAAGTCCTGCTTTTAGAAGGGCAAGCTTTTCTTCCCTGTTTGGAACTTTATTGGCATCTGTCTCACTAAGACAAACGAATTCACAGGTCCAGGTTCTCTTTTTCTTCTGCTTTCTAATTCTTCCGCCTGTTCCTCTCAATGGTCTGAATAAAGCTTGTATTTCGTTGTTTGGAGATGGAAGTGATACTGTAAAAAGCATTTGTACAATATAATTCATATCTTTTCAAAATTTCAACTATTTTAAATAAATTATTCTTATTTACTACAAAATAATTTGTTTATATCAATGCAAAAAAAGATTTTTATAAGCAATTAAACATATTGTGATACATATCGTATCGTGGCTAAATTATCGTGATACGTATCGATATAGAAAAGTTGTATTGTCCCAGCCCTAATAAGGAATCACTGTCTTCTATGTAGAGTGTGCCAGGGACCTGCATCAACAATAGTTAGAAATATGGGATAATTTATTCATAACAGGCTATGTTTCTTACTATCATTGATGCCCTGGCATACTCAACTAAGTAGACAAAGATTCCTTACATATATAGGTCCCTGGTACCCTACAAATTCAAGGTAGAAAAAAATTAACTAATTTAATTTATATTCAGGAGTTTGCATTTTGTTTTTCATAAAGAAATTGTATTAAGTCTCCATGTAGCCTAGTGTTGTTAGTTTTAACACATTATTTGTTGTAAAATGAGTTGTTACTTTGAGACAATCTAAATAAAATTAGATGTTAGATCCGCTCGCATACCCACTACACTAACATCTAACAACATTCCATTCACGTCAGAGTTCAAATTCTATCAACCAGTCAAATCGTTGCTGGCAAAATCATCATAATTATATTTGTTGAAGTGAGTAGGTCTAGATCCATTCCGAATTTGACCTCTGACGTGACCCCTTATGGGATGTTGTTAGATGTTAGTGTAGCAAGTATGCGATCAGATCCAACATCTAATTTTAATTAGATTGACTTTGACACCACCCCCTTCTCCATCTACTGTAGTGTAGGTACATGTATAATCAACTGGTCATCACTGACATACTTCAAGTATTCATTATAAAATTAATCTGATTCATACAAGTTGCCTTATGGCGATGTTCACATCATTTCATAGAAATTTAATTTTTTGTCAAAATCGTGTGCACGTAGGGGAAAAAAATTAGGCCCATATCGAGCCATTTTTTTCTTTAAAATGTCTAAAGCCAGCATTTTTTTTAGTTTTAGGTTTACGAACATTATAGTGAAAAAGAAAAAACATAAATTATGTTCTAGATAAATTATCTACTTTTGTACATTCATATTTGCTTCTTTTTGATGCTCTCCTAACAGTCTCCTTGCCAAATACAGATTTTTTAAAAAAAATCTTCTTTTTTTTAACCTTTCATTATACCTGTGTATCTTCATTTTTTTTTAATGTGTTAGGTGAATGCGTAGAAATTGTTCTAAAATATACTTGAGACCTAAATTAATAATTTTTATCTTGTGGGGAGAATGTTTTTTCAGTTAAGTGTAAAATAATTTTTCTGGCTGCCACATTCCAAACGATACTACAGTACATGCCTGTATATATTTGAAATACTTGTTTTTTAATACACGAAACATTTCATTTCTTTAAGCTATTGTATATTTCCTACTAAAATAGACTTAACTTCTCCCATAGTTTTATTCATTACATCCGATGCATAAGCAATCGTTTTCTAAAGAATGATGCCTAAACTGTAAGCTATAAATGATACCTAAACAATTTCTTTGGCAATAGCTACCATGGGCAGTTTTAAACATGTGGAAGGAAACAAATTACACACTACACAGGTCCAGTGCAATCACTAGATTTAGCTACGTAGGTAGAATTACCTACGTAGCTTTATTTAGCTATTTCAAGGTAAATTTTCGAAAGTTTTCTTTTAATTAAAAAGAGACAAAGAGTCGCAATTAAATTACTATTGATATTTATACTAGGGAGGCTTAAAAAAACAATCCAAAGCAGAGATAGTTTATACATTGCTGCATTTGGACAATTTAGAGCAAAACATGTAATCTAATTCCATTGCTTGGTTAACTGTCCTATCTATTTGGCGCGTTGAGGTATGACTGAGTATGATTACTGCACATTGTACTGAATAATTACCAACCTATTATCGTGTTAACCGGAACTGGACTTCTTTGTCATTTTATTCAAGGAGTAACTGTTCTAACTGTCATACATAGCCCCAAAACTTTCAGAACTTTGATAGCAATTGCTCAGAAAAAGACATTTTTCCAAGAGGGATTTTTTTCATGAGTTGTTTTCAGATGAGTTCAAAGTTGAAAATGATCACTGTATCAAAATAATATTTTCTGCAGACCCTGAGAGAAATGCTTTTTAAATAGAAATAAATCAGTTTGGTAGCTAAATAAAGCTACCTTAGGTAGGTAAATAAAGCTATGTAGGTAAATCAAGCTACGTAGCTAAATTTAGTGATTGTGCCAGACCTGTTACAGTCAGATAGATAATTTTGAATACGAATACATGATTATCTTACCAATGGCATTCATTTAGATAAACTTTTACACTAAACCAAGTTATGATGCTCCTATGGACTTCGCAGATCTATCTTATTTACCCGCCATCTTAAAACCGGAAGTACGAGCTCGTAAATTTGAAATCTCCATCCCGACTCAAATTTGACATTGGAAAGAAGAAATTCTGTTTTTCTCAAATTCAATTTTTCTCTGAAATTTCAAAAACTTAAAAAAAAAAATTGCTGGCCTAAACTATGTATTAATCTAACATTATGCGTCTCTCATTTATGTGTTTGCAACTTACCTCGTCTGAGCTCCTCTCGAAACCGAATTCAGTCACCTATTGTTGATATTCCTAGTTTGCACAAATCTGCATCACTGAGACTTTTACAAATGTTAATATTATTAACATTTGCTTCTAAAAAATTGTTAACACTACTGGACGAAAAAAGTGCTGAGAATCCCAAATTTTACTGATAAAGTTTGATAATTACTGATACTGTGCTGTTGTTGCTGATAAATACTGATATTTACTGTTATTATTACTGTTGTTGCTGATATTTTTTATTGTTTCTGATAAATACTGATAATTACTGTTGACTTTTACTGTTGAGTCTGATAAATACTGATAAATACTGTTGAGGTACTGTCGTTGCTGAGAATTGCTGATAATTACTGTTGAGGTACTGTCGATGCTGAGATTTACTGATAATTACTGTGGTCATTGTTTTTAACCTGGTAATTGGTTTAAAGTAAAACAGAGGGCTATAAAAACCTTCAATAATTACTTTCTTTTACTTGAATTATCATGACAAAATTTTCATATTTCTTTAAATGTTCTGCTTGTGACAAAATTACATGACTGTATGTATGTATGCTGATCTCAATTTCTACTATTACCTTTGTGAAAATTTTGACAATAATCAAATGAATTATTAATAGAATGAATAATTATTTAGAAATAGAATGAATAAAAAAAAAATAACCGAAGAAAAAAATTAAATTTTACTTTTGCATAAGATCTTCTTGAAAAATAAACTGTAAATAAAAAGAAAATTATGCTGTCTTAAAAAAGATCCATCGCCGCCTTTCCCGACTCCAAGAAAATTATGTAGGGAGATCGGTGATCTTTTTTTCAATAATAAGGAAAAAGTTCTTAATGGATAGAAAAAAAAAATGGGATAAAAAAAAGTTTCCTTCAGGTTCGAAAAGTTGGATTTGTTCCGTTTTCACTAGGTCAACTGGTTTTGGACAACATTTTGTTTTTGAAGGCCTTTTTTCTCGAAAACAATTTAATTTATCTTGTTAAATGTTAAGTTTTCTGGTCTCTTTTTTTGTCGAAATACTTGAAAATTTGCTCGAAAATTAGAAATTTTATCCCTTTTAAAAAGTAACTAAGAGGTGAAAACAGGTTTGAATATGTTCAATCTGT